TTTGTCAATGGAAGAACTGAACCTTAATTTTGCTAAAAAATTTTAAAAGTACAAAATAGAGTGATAAGATCTAAATTATATGAAGTTATGAGTTGCTTCGCAAGTAACAAAATTTAAACCTGTATTTAACACAGTGATACAAATAAGGTGCAACTCAATGATTCGACGACATTAACCTTATTTTTCTATATCGTTTCTAGAAGAACACAATTTGCCCCACTTAGATCTAACATAATAGATTATAGGAAGTAGTTTACAATATTTAATCTTTATTAAAATCTTGTCTTTAATTTTATTCAAACGCTTTGTTTTAACTTTAGTAATATTTACATTATTAGTAATACGTAAAATTAAAGGTAATAAATAGCATACTATTTTATTTTTCACATAGATTTATATATATATCATGTATAAAATTCGCACAAAAGACAGTAAGATAATCTTATTGTTCACAAATTTATTATATTACAAAAAAATCTGGGAGTTTTTTTTCTATCTACAAGCAACAAATTTTATTAAATACCAAGCTAATCTATTATATATTTTATTCTTTAGGTATCATAGATATCAGCCATTCCTCTTCAGCTTTTCTTTCTTGTAACTTTTTATAATTTTTAATTTTCCGAAGTCTCTTAAAGCTAAAGGGCTTAAAGAGAATATTAGTAAGAGTGCGAACCCAAGACACTACAACAAATGAAAGACTAGCAGCAAACTCTTTTTTTCCAATATCTATTACAGCTTTTGCATAAGTTCTTGACTCTTATACACGGTAATGGCCCAGGCAAGACAAACAGGAATCTGTGTTCATGAACACAATACCCCTGGTTTACTTTTCCAAGTACATTGAATAGGTATTATTGGGATAACTTTTACACCATCTAAAGTCATAATCGTAGGCCCCTTATAATTGTCAAAAGCAATAAAGACAACAACAGGAAGAGAAGGTGGTCCATTACTTTCATACAAAATATTGTAGACAGTTCTCATAGACCTGTTAACTAATCCTGCTTCTGTCCACAAATTAATTGTTAACATAACATGAGCTCCTTTGGCTAATAAAAGTTGCGCTTCAAGACTTTTCGCAATATCTGAGTCTGCTATTTTAGCCTTATGACCACCAGTATGTGTAGCTTGAATTTTAGCAACAGAGCAATTTAAAGATCCAAGTTTTTCTAAATTAATTGCATCAACATCTGCTCATTTTGGTAAAATGAACATAGCATTTGAAAATAGATCACACACACTTCTATTATATCTTTCTTCGACGTGTATAGTAAGTGTTCTCCAACCTTCAAGAGTAGATTCTCCATTGCACAATTGTAAGAGAATATTTCTAAAGTCTTGCTGCTCCCTAGAGTTACCAGATTGACGCTGAATAATGTCAAGTTTATATGCTTCCCAAAACCTACTATAAGCTACAATACCTTCATTAGATAATAGGTCTCGCGAAATATTACCAGCATATATAGAAAGGTCAAGCACAGGTGGGAGCTGTCCAAAATCGCCAAAAAAGAATAATAGATCTTTATGCTCTGGAAAAGCTTGTCTTAATCTCATATCAATTAAATTTAATATTCGACATCTCATTATGCTTTTCTTATCAAAGACTATATATATTACATTTTGTAGCCTTGATTGTAGTCTTTTTAACTGCTCACCGTTTATATCTAAATTACCTCCATTTTGTATTGGAATACAAAGTGTTGAATGAATAGTTGCTCCATTAATATTGTATGTAGCAACTCCTGTAGGTGCAAATACAAGTATAGGCAGTTCAGTTATATTTCTGCATATCTCTCGCAGTTGTCCTCTAATTGCTTTAATAAGATATGATTTTCCTGTTCCTGCTGTTCCCATGATAATAATCCTTAGTGGTTCGACGTCGCAGCCAGAAAGTATACTTTGATAGTATGTCTTTATTTAGTTAAAAACTTTTTTTTGGTTTTTATTCAAGGTATTATAGTCTACAATATCTACAACTACATTCAAGTTTCCTTCTATTCGATAATTATTAGATGCTTGACACAAAAAAGTGTCAACATCTATAATATCAGTACTCGAATAATTCTGTTTGGCATTATTAATCCAATCAAAGTTAAGATCTATATCACGAGATCCAAATTCAAATGACTGATTAATAATTGCGTTTGGACCTATTTCTGCTAAATATATCCAATCAAGTTGGAATTCCTCCTCTTCATCAATTTCCTCACCCAGATCATCATCGTCAGCATCATCATTCGCATCCTCTACTTCATCTATAGAAGGACCAAGCAGATCCATTGGATCAGCATTAATATCTTCAATATACCAGCTATATAAGGTTGACCATTATACAGCACCCTCTTCAGTTAATTGCTAAAGATCTCAATGCTTAATGTGGAGAATAACTTTGACTTAACAAAATTCTTCCCATTGAGGGCCATGATATAAAGATGACGGGTATGGCTATATACGTATAATGTTTTCTTTTAAACATTTTTTCCATCAACCTTTCACATATTTATATGTCAAATAGATATAATACAACAAAAAATTTTCTAACTCTAATGGCCTTTCCCAGTATACCATCAAAGATGATGGTGATGTTATCCCTATATCTCTAATATTTTTACCCTCTTCTCTACTACCAGTACCACAAATCCATTGTGGTGTTTCTTTGTTTAAATTTAAAGAGATAAATGTTTGGCTTGAGTGATAAAGAGGAATACTAAGAAGAAGATGACAAGTTTCTTGTGCTGAAATATTATATTCTGCTACACTATGAATCAACAATCTTTGAGCCATAGGAATAACTAAATCATCAGATCTGCTATCAGCTATGATCTGATTTAATATTTCAGAGAAAGTAGCAGAACGTGGTTCAGCCTTGCTTGCGTATTTAGCAATGTATTGCAAGGCTGCATGGATACTTAGAATTGGTTTAATATCCACATTTGCTCTCTAGCCCTGTAATTGAAGTTGACTATGTGGATTAATATGTGGATCGTTTCTTGCTGTTACAAGTTCTGGTCCTGTACGAAGATCTTCTCGCAAAAACATGTGTTCGTTATTTTTTTTAGGATAACCGAATCTACAAAATTGTTGACCGCTTTTATTGACACGAAGACAATATCTAGGGCTATATTGGGTATGCCTTTGTAATTTATTGATCAAATCTATATAATCTTGCAAATCATCATGTATCTTGTCGTAACACTTTTGACAAGGGTGACGATCAGGTATTGGTGCGTTGATCCCGGATTGATAGTAGTTACTATTGAATTAAGATATTGTGCCACTTCATTCATTATATGTTCATCATTTTTCATTTTTTCCCACTCAATTACAGGTGCATTTCGTCTTTTCCCTATACTATATATATAGACACTACCACGATGCTGCTATTCAAACCTATACTACCAGTCCTCTAAATCACATCTCTTTTTTAATACATCATTAAAGAAAATTTCAAACTGCTTGTTGAAAAACCAGACAGCAATATGAGGATTATCGATGACATTTTGACAACGGCAATTTGCAGATTCTTCTACAGAATCTTCTGTAGATTGTATAAGATCATGTAATTCAGGCCAGTGCAAATTGGCAGCACTGAATGTAAAAAATATTAATCCTTGTAAACTTAATTGCTTTATCATATCAGATAGTTTACAACACTGTGCCGTCCAGTACTGTCGAGTTTCACGCAAGTCTTCTCCAAATCGCATAATTCGATCTGCTATATGCGTGTCACTTTCAGCAATCATGTTTCTAATATTAGTAACGGTAAGCTGATTATCACTTAATTTCTGCTTAACATAAACTCTTCTTTCTTGTAATGCTTTCCATCTCATCTGGGAATTTAACGCAAAATAGTACCAACGAGTGTGGTGTGCAAACCTACCATCGCTATATTGGAGTAGGTGCTTAAAATATTCAGCTAGCTTGACCTCTCTAGCACGTTCTACATTAAGATCAGCCTAGCCAGTTGGATATAAAGTTGGAAATGCTCGAGCGATATACCTAGATGTTTGGAATTCATTGATGGGATTGCTATCAATATATGGCTATGTTATAGGATAATTTTCCGATTCTATATAGTCAAGTATATTGTTAATGGCAATATCCTCACAACTAGTTGATGGGAAAAATGATACGAACGAATGTGTAATATCACTGTTATCGATATCGATATCATTTTCATTATTTGGTTTCTCTATAGCTTTACTTGTTTGAATTTGTTGAAGCTGACTATCAATATAATCTTCTTGAGGTAAGGATTCAAGAATATCATTATTAATTACAATGTCAGCATAATACTGATTATTCGCCTTTAACCAGTTTAGCACATTTGCAACAACATTACGATGAACTATGAAGTCTTTAAATACTGTAGGATTATTTGCGGATTGCCGGCGCACTATGAGGATATTTAACGATGATGGATCTCGAGGAAGGCATGTAGTAAACTCTTGAATATCTTGAGAAAAGTTTATAACATTGCCTCTGTATCCTTGTTGTTCTCCACGAAGATTATATACTAATATTACAGTAAAAACTTGTGCTATTAACATTTCTTCTACTTCTGTTAAACCTTGAAGCTTATTAGATATTTCACCTGGGTCCATATCATTTTCAGCAAAGAATTTTTTTGGAAAAATTTTTTCGCTACTGCAATGATGACACATTTCTCTAATGAGCACTATAGATGGGAAACATTCATTGCATGTAGGGCAGAGAACATACCGAAGCTTATTTATTTTAGATCGAAATTTTTGTAAAAGTTTATGCTCGTATTCACTTATTGTTGTTGCTGATAGCGGTTTTTCCATAACATTATCTTCATCTTGAGATTCAGACCCAATATTCTCCTCATTTTGAACATTTTCACTTCGAGATGTAGTGGAAAATGTTCCTGTGATAATCTGTTCGGTTTGGTCTGTTGTTTCTATAGTTACTACTATTACAGATCGTTCTGTCTCTTGCGGTAAAATGGTTCTTTTCCCCGGTTTTTGGCATTTTCACTCTCGATCACGTGCAAGCCATTCCTCATGTTCTTCTGCAGTTTCTTCTGCTTTACTCTTGAGTCTTCTATTTTGGTTATTCGAGAGACATTCTCTATGTTTTTCAGGTGATTTCTTTTCTCTATTTCTATATTGTCTTAGTGTACTTCTGTAATAAATTATTTATTTTTTAATTAGGTTTGCAAATTTGTAAAAAATTAATAAAATAATTTATAAGATATAGACATACTTAGTTTCCATTATGTTTGGAGAGGTTAATTAGAATATGGTTTTAAGGTTTGATTTTGTAAAATTCTGATTTATTAAAGGTCAAAAATCACCACTTAAATACATTTTTAACAATCTAAATTATATATTTTATAGCACTCATTATTCTTTCTAACAATATAATCATGCAATTTTTTGCCATTATGCAATAATTATGCGATTTAAGGTTTGTAAAAATGCTTTTCGCATCAGCCCGGTTGGCTTTGAATACATGGCCAACTTATTAAGATATGATTTTGATTTTCAATAATATTTGTTTTCGATTATCATGTATTCAATAATTTTAGAGACTTTTCAGATGCTACCAAATTCACTTTCGACATATATATTGGCTAAGTAATCTATAATTACTAAATACATATTATTCTAATTAATTTGCTTCTTATATCAATCCAGTTTGCTCTGACCATATAGCTGACTTATTTGGATATGACTCAGATTCTCGAAACTGCTGACTAAGTAAAACCACTTATATTTTGGTGATAATTATTTAATTACTATGCATGCAATTTAATTATTTGGATATGGCTCAGATTCTCAAAAGTACTGGTTAAATAAAGCGGTTTCTATTTTGGTGCTCATTATTCATACAATTTAATTATTTTAGAGGTTCTCAGGTTAGAGATTGTTTCTAGGTAGGCATTTTTATTATATGGTTATAATAAATTACCCAAATAGCTGAGTAACTTAATAATACCCGGGTAGAGATTTTTTTGACGGGCACAATTTCTATCCCAGGAATTACTAAACTTGGCCTCCGGTATATCTTGGCAAAGCAATCAAACATGGCAATAGTGTCTAGATATAGGATAATTTAAAAAGGCAATCGAAGCTATAGCATTTTATCTTGAAATCATGTGATTTTCATAAGTGAAATCTTTATTTTTTTTTATTTTTTTATTTTTTTTTTCGGTATTAAGGTGATCTCTTTGGCCGGGGAACGTTTTATTAGATAGTTATGTTTTTCAATTACAGTAAGGGTACATATAGCCACACGTGCAC